TATGTAGAGCCCGACTCTCTTTCCCGGGGATGTCTGGAGCTGTGAAAGTGAGTGTCTTCTCTCTCTTGCCAAGAGTTGGGTGTCTGGTGTATGAGGGGTGATGGTAGTAAACGGCTCTCTTGGGTGGGGGGACAGGGGTGTTATTGGTCAATGTCAGTCTTTCTCCACTGGGTTGGGGGGTGTTGGCTTGGTGCCAAGCTCTCTCTGCAGGGGAGGGGGGTGGGAAATTTTTGTGTTGCCTAGGGCAGCACCAAACCTACATACACTATTGGCCCTCGCTCTGGGGTGCGGTAAGGCTGAGCGATTCTCCTTTCCAGTTTCCTGCCTGTAGTTAGGCTCTTCCCACTGGGCCCCTTCCCAGGCTCCTGCATCTCAGCCTTCCTCACATCTTCCACCTGAACTCTCCTGCTACTGAGCAGGTTCAATAGTTGAGGGCTGCTCTTGTCCTATGCCAAGTCTCCTGCTTGGGGATTGGCCAGAGTCCTTTGAGCATGCAGACCAGCCCCTCCTCACCTCTGCCCACTGCTTCTAGAATCTTTTCCAAGATTCTGGAGCTGGGGGAGGTATCAAGGTACTGATCTGCAGAGCCTCTCAGCCCTGACCTGAATTTGACCCAGCTGACTATCGCCCAGGATGCTACTCAGCCTTTCTGTCTGTAAAAATAATCAGCTAGCTCCCCCTAGCTATCTAGGAGGGCGCTACACAGGATATAGATACAGTATTTGAGGTCTCCTACCTTTTAAAAAATCTAATACTGTATTTTTGCACATTTTAGTCATGCTTGTAGTTCTGCACCAAACCCCAAAGACCCCGTGGTACATATTGTCCACTGATAGTCATGAAGGTAGTTCCTACACATCAATACTTTCTGAGAGCTCAGAGATAAGATGATAGAATGCCGCCTACTGACTTTCTTACAGAGTTTCTGTTTTGTTGCACATCTAGTGAGGTCCCGCATCTTCACCCTCCTTGCCTCTCCTCTTCTGCACAGAGTAGTCCATCTAATGCAAACCATGTGTGGTCCTCAGTGGTTTAGGGATTTAAAGCTGAACTCCAGGTATGGATTTTCATAAATAGCTCTGTTGGTTGAGTTTGGATCAGTGGAAGTATGTATGTGCCATACCTGAGGAATTACTGTGGGAGTGGAGAATTACTGTAGTATTCTTCACTGCTACAGTGATCCCCGATGTCTTCCAGGTCCCTTGGCAAGCTGCCCAGTTGCGTAGTAACCACAGGGGGTTGCCAGCTCAGCATGGATGCTATCACAGAACACCTTGAATTTTTCCGCACTCCTCCACCTGGGTTTGAGGAAGACTCTGCCATCTTCACCGGGGGGAAGAGTTAGGCAGAGCAAGGTATTGCCTCGACATCGCCTGCGGGCCCCGGCCAAGCCGTGTCAGGCTTTTCCCAACCTTGGGAAGTAGAGGAGCACACTGAGCACGCCCTCAGAAACATTGCAGTATCCCAGGCAAACTACACTGCTGCTTCAGGCTCACCGTCCCACAGCTTGCACGTGCTGTGCTGTTTGTATTGTTTGCTGGTTCGGAACACACAGGTGCCGGTGATTTGACAGTTACCGGGTGACTTTACAGCCAGGGGCTCCTGCGGTCTCCCCAACCTCTTCTGTGGACTTTCCCCAGCTCAGTCCTCTTGGTCCGCCACTGGAGGAACACTGAAAAACCACACAGCAAGGATGGATGGATCAGAGGAACACAGACAACCAGCCCTTTGTGACAGGCTTGTGTACATTGGGGAAATGTGAGTTTAATGGACTACTTTATGTTTTGTCCTTAATAAAAAGACGTTTTTACACTAGGGGAGCACTTTCCTTGTTTTTTTCTCTTCTCTTGTCTTAGTGAATAGGCCAACTATGTAATTCAAAAAATTGTGTCTTCTCTTGGAGGCCCCCCGCCACACCCTTTTCACTGTATACAGTACATACAGTGAGGAACAGAAGTATTTGAACACCCTGCGATTTTACAAGTTCTCCCACTTAGAAATCATGGAGGGGTCTGACATTCACATTGCAGGGGATTCCCACTCTGAGAGACAGAATTTAAAAAAAATTCAGGAGATCACATTGTATGATTTATAAAGAATGTATTTGTCTCGCACGGCTGAACAGAAGTATTTGAACCCCCTGCGATTCTGCAAGTTCTCCCACTTCTCCATCATGGAGGGTCCGACATTCACATTGCAGGGGATTCCCACTCTGAGGACAGAATTCAGGAGATCACATTGTATGATTTGTAAAGAATGTATTTGTCTCACACGGCAGAACAGAAGTATTTGAACCCCTGAGAAGATCCGTGTTAATATTTGGTACAGAAGCCTTTGTCTGCAATTACAGAGGTCAGACGTTTCCTGTAGTCCTTGGCCAGGTTTGCACTGCAACAGGGATTTTGGCCGACTCCTCCACACCGATCTCCTCTAGATCTGTCAGGTTTCAGGGCTGTCGCTGAGCAACACGGAGTTTCAGCTCCCTCCAAAGATGTTCTATTGGATTTAGGTATAGAGACTGGCTAGGCCACTCCAGAACCTTGATATGCTTCTTACGGAGCCACTCCTTGGTTATCCTGGCTGTGTGCTTCGGGTCGTTGTCATGTTGGAAGACCCAGCCACGACCCGTCTTCAATGCTCTGACTGAGGGAAGGAGGTTGTTGCTGAAAATCTCACAATAAATGGCCCCATTCATCCTCTCCTTAATACAGTGCAGTCATCCTGTCCCCTTCGCAGAAAAGCACCCCCAAAGCATGATGTTACCACCCCCATGCTTCACAGTAGGGATGGTGTTCTTGGGATGCAACTCATCCTTCTTTTTCCTCCAAACACGACGAGTGAAGTTTAGATCAAAAAGTTTCTACTTTGGTCTCCTCTGACCACATGACTTTCTCCCATGCCTCCTCTGGATCATCCAGATGGTCATTGGCAACCTTCAGACGGGCCTGGACATGTGATGACTGGAGCAGGGGAACCTTCATACGGGCCTGGACATGTGATGACTTGAGCAGGGGAACCTTCAGACGGGCCTGGACATGTGATGACTTGAGCAGGGGAACCTTCCATGCAATGCATGATTTGAAACCATGACGGCGTAGTGTTCTACCGACAGTGACCTTTGAAACTGTGGTCCCAGCTCTCTTCATGTCATTGACCAGCTCCTCCCTTGTAGTTCTGGGCTGATTCCTCACCTTTCTTCTCATCAGTGATACCCCACGAGGTGACATCTTGCATGGAGCCCCAGTCCGAGGGAGACTGACAGTCGTCTTTAGCCTCTTCCATTTTCTAACAATTGCTCCAACAGTTGATCTATTTTCACCAAGCTGCTTGGCAATTGCCCCGTAGCCATTTCCAGCCTTGTGGAGGTCCACAATTTTGTCTCTGGTGTCTTTTGACAGCTCTTTGGTCTTGCCCATAGTAGTAGTTGGCATCTGACTGACTGTGGGATGGACAGATGTCTTTAAAGAGCTCCGACAGGTGCTACTAAGTGAGATGAATGAGTGGAGTAGAGGTGGACTTTTTAAAGGCGCAGTAACAGGTCTTTGAGAGCCAGAATTCTTGCTGCTTCTCAGGTGTTCAAATACTTCTGTTCAGCCGTGCGAGACAAATACATTCTTTAAAAATCATACAATGTGATCTCCTGAATTTTTTTTTTTAATTCTGTCTCTCAGAGTGGGAATGCACCTACAATGTGAATTGCAGACCCCTCCATGATTTCTAAATGGGAGAACTTGCAAAATCGCAGGGGGTTCAAATACTGCTGTTCCTCACTGTATCTGTTGTAATTCATACCCATGGGACCCTCCCTACCTTTACCAAAATATGGTCTACAGACCTGAGCTATGGGATCTCCCCTGGGGACTGGCACACAGCTTTACACTCACCCATAAATCCTCTATTTCTTGGTATGCCCAAGAGAAAAACCTACAAACTGTTCTACGAGTGACATAGGGACCCAGTCTCTCTCTCCACCGTATATTTCCTATGACTTGAGATAGTTGCTGGTGTCATAATGGCAAGGGGATGTATTTGCACGTACGGTAGTGTGACTTGATCCAACCTTTTTGGAAAACGATATTTAAGATATACGATGAAATCTACGATGTGTCTCTATCCCCGTTGTCTACCATGGCCTTGTTGTCTATATTACTGGGATCTGTCAGGCAAGCTTATTGCAAATTTTTTTTCTGCTGCCCGGCAGCTTACATCCAGGTTCTGGAAGTCTTCTTCTACACCTTCCTTGACTCTTTGGGTGAACATCGTAAATTACACAATGCTGATGGAGGAAATGCTGACATGAGGGATGGATGCCTAGGACAAATTCACCACTCTGTGGCACATGAGGTACAGTACATATGGCTGTATTCCTCTGACAAACTGAAAAACCTGATTTTTACTTAATTCTTCATCAGTTTGGTTCCTCCGGGATCTCCTCCCTTCGCCCCTCCTCTTGTGCTGAAGGTTGGACATCACTCCCCTGAAAGCACTTCAACTTGCCTCTCTTGATGGGTTTTGATATATTTGTTCTCTTTTTTTTTTTATGCATATTCATATGAAGCTTATCCTCCAGACGTTTAGCTCTATTCTCCTTTTCTTCTCTCTCTTTCCTTCCCTTCCTCCCTCCCTGCCCCCCCCCCCAATCTCCCCCCTTTCTTCTTTATTCTGGTGTTTGATGTGATGATGTTTTCTTCCTTTGGTCACCTGTGTCCCTTGGCCCATTACTTGATTATGCACCAAGATGGCATATACACCCAATGTGACCAACAGGGGCCCCTCTACTTCTCAGGACATAGAACATGGAAAACAGGTTTAGGTTTCAAAGTGCCATAATCTTTTACTGGATTTAATCAGGTGTGGCCCTCAGCAGACATAATGTGGCCCCCTTGAAGATTTAGTCACAGTTCGACCTACGTACAGCCATCTATATCATTACAGAGATTAATATTTTGTTACCTTATATGTTTACTATAATGAAGAAACCTGAACTGAATAGAACTTACCGTCGCATCTTCAATATTTCCTTGTTTTATATTGATGTTCAACCCTTCCTTGGTGGTCACCATTTGATTGTTGGCTTTGCTCATAATTTCCTCCTTCTTCTTCTTCTTCTGGTTTTTCATGCCATGTTTCCAAGGAACCTGGACATGTTTTCCTTCAAACTCTCCATTCACTATTTCAGTGATAGTCTTTAGAGTGCCTTCATCACTGTCTACGAGATGGATGCTTTTGATGGTGTTGAAGCCTTCTTGGCTTTCTGTGTATGATTTTATTGATTTTACGATGTTTTGGGCACACAGATCCAAAGGACACCCAGAAGTAATGAAATCACCAACGGAAAGTGCAACATAGCTTTGACCATTATCTGCAGCCATCACCAAGCTCTCGGTTATCACTTTCCGTAGAAGACGCTCACATTTTGAATTTTCTTTTTTATCCAGTTTTGGGACCAATTGCATGAATTACCTTCTTACATGATAAATTGCTCACATCTGTTATGACACACTCTCCCGGCTCCAGCTCTCCTTCCTTTTGAACAATGCGTTCACATTCTTTCTGAAGACTGGGTCCTGCTGCTTTCACCAAAGCCAGCGCTGGTCCCCAGTTGGCTTTAAATTCTTATTTGAGGCAATTATGATGACATCAGCATTGTGTTGGCACAGATCACCTTTATATATAACCATTGTGGCTCCATTCTGGAGGCTGACTTGGCAATGGAGCTCATTTCGATTAGAAATTCTGTCATCGACCTCCTTCTGTAGTTGTATCACACATTTGTGCTTGTTCCATACTGTAGTAACATACATATCTTCATTTTCAAAAAAGGATTTTTTGACCCCGGGTTTATCAATGTATAAGGTGTCAAAATACATTTTGGAAATCATTTTTATTATGTTGGTTTCTGCCTCCTCTACATAGAACTTTGGGCCAGAAAAGGAAATTAAGTTCTGTTTCTTCACAACCTTCATATTCCCTATTATTTCATTCCATTCCTGCTTCTTTTTTTTTCCTCCATAAATTGCAACACCGCCACTGACTTCAGCTTGATGTCCTTCTCCACCAAAGTGTTCTTTTCTACAAAGTCATGGATCTGCTGGTAGGTTTCTTCTGCAGGTGAGGATAGACCAGTGATCACCATCTCAACTCCATCCCTCACAGGGAACTCCTCTATGGAAACCTTCATCCCATCAATATTAAACATCGCCTTTAGGAAGCTCTTCAGATTTCCCCACTCCGGACTCTGAGTGACACTTTTATCCTCAACAGAAATCTTCTTACAGACCAATTCCTTCTTCATGGTTTCTTCACCATTTCTCAGATCTTTATCGGAGTAACCAGTTAGCCTGACTGCATTGTCTTTCATCTGAAAAGCTGCTTTTTATGTTGTTTTTCATAAGAAGACTACATGACAATTCTTCATTGTCCACTGCCTTCAGAAACTTGATGATGTGTGGCATCGAGCTGGTGAATGGATTTGTACTTTAGGCTTTGCATAATATTGAGAATTTGGATTTAGCAGTGAGAACTTCATCTCTTGGTCCGTAAAGTTTAACTCCCTTAGAAGTTCCATCATAACGAATCTTCACATTTGGACAATCTTTCAGGATGTTTTTCTCCAGACCATGTGCAAACATTAATTTATAAGCTTCGGGTTCAAGAGGCACATCCTTTTCCAATCTGCTCAGTTGTCTAGTGGTTTCTTCTACCAGTTTTCTGAACATTGGCTCAATCTTTGTAACATCTTCTAAAATACCCACAATGAAAGCCTTCTCTGCAACTAAGTCGGGTTTTATGAGGACTCCATCATATGATGAGCTAGACATCTTTTCTTTGATGGCTTCCCACACTGGTGGCTTCAGGTCACACTCTGCAGCCTTATACTTAGAAATAAAAGATTTAAACTTTTTGTGGACGTTATCACTCCATGATGGAACTATCTTTGCCAAGGTTCGGAGATGACTGGAGAGGTTTCTGGGTAAAGACAGTTTGATGACAGGAGTGGGGTGGTCTACATTTGGCCAAGTGATATCACAGTAAACATCGGACATTTCTTTTTCAACTTTTAGTTTTATCTGTTCATCCTTCAAAATAAATGCCAGTATATGTGGGCTGATGGGGATTTCTACTGAATCAGGTATTTCCATATGAGGGCCTTCCTTCCCATACAAGCAATGACCAATGGATGGGTAATATGGATACACGGATATTGCTTTTTGTTTAGCACATGCTGCTTTGTCATCACCGTCCTCAGAACTGCAATAAAAAGAAATAAAATGCTTGTTAGAGGATAAGAGAGGCAGCAATAATCAGGGATACATCAGAAGTAGTGTTAGCCCTCTTGGCAACACATATAATACGATTATTATTTCATATCAGTCATTCTCAACTAGGGCTCCTTGAGGGGCTGCTAGGGGTTCCATGAACTTTGGCTGATTAAACTCACATTCCATGATGCCTGCCTAGTTCCGGGTCCAACGCCACCTGACAGATCCAGCTTCATGACGCCAATGATATTTTTTGCTGTCTGAAAGGGTGTTAACCAAAGTAAGGGGCTTTTTTGCCCCCCCTGACCAAATGAATTGGTTTTAGCAGTGGTTCTTCAATGACCTGAAAATTAATTCAAGGGTTTCTCTGGAGCAAAAGGTTGAGAACGACTGCTCTATAGTAGGGGTCTCCAAACTGCGGCTCTTTGCTTGCTTTATCCAGTCCTTGGGGCAATATTTCATCCATTGGTACCAATAATGGGGCATAATTCCCCCCACTGTCACCAACGAAGGGGCACAATTCCTCCCAATGACACCAATGATGGGGCACAATTCCTCCCAATGACACCAATGATGGGGTGCAAATGGCAGTGGCAATGATGGGGCATTGTTTACTCTCACTAATGCGGGACATTTTCTACTCCTGATGGCCACAGTCTGGCCCCCCTAAAGTCTGAAGGACAGCAAACTGGCCCTTTGCTTAGAAAGCTTGGAGACCCGGCTCTATAGTATCATTTTTGTAGCAAAACAAGCTGAAAATGAAGAAGGTGGAAAATATCGGCTTTTTTGTATTGGTGAAGCTTTTAGTAAAGTTTTGGAATAGTAATACAAAGTGTAATACAATGAAGCCTCTCCGTTTTCTCTCTAGCCTTTACCATAGCACTTCTGGGAGGTTAGGCTACTAGAGATTTAGGTGTCCTTTGCAGTGATGTTCTGGGGAAGTTAAAGAGAAAAGAAACATAAAGTACAGCTATGGCTTCTCAATAAAGAATGTGCTCAGCACTTAAATATACAGTAAGTAGGTGGAACTCTGTGGCCCTCTGTGGCCCTTGCTGCCAGTGCTTGATTTCTTGCAGAGCATGACCAGTGCCGGGACATGGTCATCCAGTGCCCAGGGCAAAGACGCCAAAATGCACCCCCTCCCCCCCTTTCATGATGTACAAGCTTAGGGGATCCAATGCACAGCTGTCAATTGTCAAAATCGCTGTGCAGCTCCTGATCAGGTTTTGCATCGACCTGGAAGTGCGCAGTTTTTCGCAATGCGGTCCCACCACAAGAGGTAGGAAGGAGTGGGAGAGAGAACACAGCCCGTGCTGCCTCTTGGCTCTCCCTTTGCCACTCCCAGCGCTGGGCTGACAGGAGTGATGATGCCGCTGTCACTACTCCTGTCAGCCTTGTAACAGAAGGAAGGCACCCCCATCCCTACAGCAAACCATTGCGCCCAGAGCAGCCGCCCCTCCCGCCCACCCCTTGTCCTGGCCCTGAGCGTGACAATATACAGTATCAGGTCTGCCCCTTCCTTCCCCAGACATTACCATCCCCCCACCCCCAGTGCCCTCAATGTCTATCCCTCTCACCTCCTGCCTGTGAAATGTGACCAGCGCGGCTCTTTCATCCGATAACATCTCCACATCTTCTACACTCCCTCCTCCATTCCTTGCGCTCTCGAAGTAAAGTGTGACCATGTCCTCCGGGGTATTGGGGGGGATCCCCTCCACTCGGACACTTCTGGTTTCTTCCAGACTCCTTGCTGTTAGTTTATGCTGTTTTACTCTTGGGCTACCGGAGAATTTTTCAATGAAATCTGCAATATCTGTGAATAGAGACATCACATCCCAGTGAATACGTAGATACACGTATATTCCCAGCCCAGCCCTAGTATTCTGGCATTTGCTTAAAGATCATGGAACTATTGGGTTACATTTATGTGCTAATTCCCTCTAGTGTTCTCTAGAATTGTTACATTGTATCTCTTATTACAAAGATGTATGTATTTCCTTTGCTCCCCAGCTCCATCTAATGGCCATAATGTGGTAGTTTACTGTCCATAATAAAACAACATTTATGCAGGAGCTTTTTGATCATGTGACATCCGGTCACATGATCAGAAAAACCCCACCTGTGTAGGTTTACACAAAGGGAAACGGAAAAGTGTAATGGGGGTTTAAAAAAAAAAGGGAAAAGGAAAAGTGAATGTACTGTACTGACTATGTTTTGTATTCTATTTTGTCCTGATGTGCATTTTTACATTTCGCTCAGTTTCTCCATCTAGCCTGAGGGCCAGTGCACACCAAACCACAGTGTGTGGGGGCCAATGAATTGTTAATGGGGCCCCAAATGCATCTCACAAATGCAGTGTATTATGGTACAGTAGTTCCATGCAATTTGGTGCAGTGCGTGCTGAACAAGTACAGTTGTGTTGAAAATACTAGCCGTCAGACATCACTAACCGGATCAATCACTGTTTTTGGTGGAGATGATATTCCTAATGGCAGATAATTTCCTAGCACTGGTGTAGTAGAGTCATAGAAATCCAACAGACCCGACAGTCATGACATGCATGCTGCTGATTCTGTGTCATTGAATCACTCATTGAAAGGGGCGTGTTCAAAATAATAGCCGTGTGGAGTTCTATTAGTGAGGTCATTCATTCTTTGATAAACAGGTGGCAATTATTGCCCTTATTTAAGGAAGGAAGGCAGCAAATGTTGGACATGCTGTTTACAGTGCATTTCTCTCTGAAATTCTGAGGAAAATGGGTCGTTCCAGACATTGTTCAGAAGAACAGCGTACTTTGATTAAATAGTTGATTGGAGGGGAAAACATATAAAGAAGTGCAGAAAATGATGCTGCTCAGCTAAAATGATGGCAAATGCTTTAAAATGGCAACCAAAACCTGAAAGACGCGGAAGAAAGCGAAAAAAACTACCATTGGAATGGATAGAAGAATAGCCAAAATGGGGCGGACTCAGCCAACAATCAGCTCCAGGAAGATGAAAGAAGTGTGTGACGTTCCCTGTGAGGACTCAGCCAACAATCAGCTCCAGGAAGATGAAAGAAGGTGTGACGTTCCCTGTGAGGACTGTTACAATTAGAAGACGCCGATGTGAAGCCAAGCTATCTGCAAGAAGTCCCTGCAAAGTCCCACTGTTGGGGAAAAAGACGTGTGCTGAAGAGGTTACAATCTGCCAAAGAGATGTTCACATTGACCGGCCTAAAGAGAAATGGCCCAACATTTTGTGGACTGATGAAAGTAAGATTGTTCTTTTTGGGTCTAGTGGGCGGAGACAGTTTGTCAGACGACCCCCAAACACTGAATTCAAGAGCACAGTACACTGTGAGGACCGTGAAGCATGGTGGTGCAAGCATCATGATATGGGGATGTTTCTCATACTACGGTGTTGGGCCTATTTATCGCATACCAGGGATCATGGATCAGTTTGAATCCATCAGAATACTTGAAGAGGTCATGCTGCCTTATGCTGAAGAGGGAATGCCCTTGAAATGGGGGTTCCAACAAGACAACGACCCCAAAAACACACCAGTAAAGGTGCAACATCTTGGTTCCAGACCAACAAGATGGACGTTATGGAGTGCCCAGCCCAACCCCCGGATCTTCATCCAATAGAAAACTTGTGGGGTGAAAAAAAATGCCGTTTCTGAGGCAAAACCAAGAAATAGAGAAGAACTGTGGAATGTGGTCCAATCATCCTGGGCTGGAATACCTGATCACAGGGGCCAGAAGTTGGGGGACTCCATGCAACACAGATGTACAGCAGTTCTCAGAAAACAGTGCGACTACTGTCCCAAATATTCATGAAGTCATTCAAAGGAAAGCAAAATCTTCAAACATTTCTCAGTTTATATAGTGAATGTTGGAGTTTGTAAAGAAGAATACAAACACTGAGATTTTTTTTGAACGTCTAATATTCACTTTTCTTCCATTTTTTTTAGAGGAACAACACAAATTGATGTATTTTTCTTCATGTTGTGATTTGGAATAGAATGTGTCGTGTTCCCAATGCATTTGTGTGGATGGAAATAAAAGCTATTAGAAGGATTTTCGGTCTTTGATCTGCAACTACAGGAACACTTTTTTCAACACACTGATATTATTTTGAACACCACTGTAGGTCTTGCAGTACTTTTTTCCACATTCCAGTGCATTTTGTAGCTCATTCAAATGAATGGGCTGCAAAACTGGACCACATGGGAACATGAAGGAAAACACACGGGAAGGAGCGCGTTCCGGTACGAATCGGCCCTGAAAGTTGCTGTCTGAAGCCTCGGAGAGGTCCCATTACTGGACCTGATGGGCATCATAAAGTGGATAAAAGCCATCACCCTCCCATCTATATACATGCATGCCTCCTGCCTGGTTTGGTACTGATTGGATGTCGGTGGTAGCGATACGTCAATAGTGGTTCCCAATCTGTGGAGTGCAGTTCATATGTGCAATTATTCTATTTATTTTACCCCCATAATGTGCAAACATCGGCCGCACAAGGTAAGGCCTGTTAGGGTTGGGCGCCTTGACAAGACTGTCTAGCATGGTAAAGAATTAGTGAGCAGTTCACAGGAGGGTCCTTCTCCAAATGTTGGCCCTGCAACTTCCCTCACATCAAGTCACTGATTAATGTAAAACGGAGGAAAAAGAGAAATATTTCCACAGCCCAAACCAACCAATCACATGTCATCTTCTGCTCTCTAAGAAGAACTCTAAAATAAAACATGGAATTTGATTCGTTGTTATGGAGTTGTTCATAAATCGTTGTGTTTGTTGGGGTGTCTGACCTATATCACATGTGAAGGTGATGACGGCAGATTGGATCTCCGGAATCCTCTCTATGTAGAAGTCCGTGTCCATGGATCTGCGGCTGATATTCTCCACCAGGAGCTTTAACATCTGAGGAGTGTGTCTGTCCTGGATGTTCTCAATCAGAACCAGAGGGGACGAGTGGCTGGGTGACACCTCTTCTTTCTCTGGAGTTGGTTTCCCTGTAAAAATTGGAAGGAATTATAAAACTGCATTAAACATGGACATATTACTGCTCTGTCCCAACTATCTCCAACCATCCATAGTTATCCTTCCCATTATGTACATATAAAGCTCAGCCATGGGTCGTGGTAACGTCCTCCTTCCTCCTCCAGAACATACTCAGCTTTGTCTGTGTTTCCCATGACAACAGTTGGCAGTTTATTTTATTTTTCTGGAAGTACATTTTCTACCTGTCATTTGTGGAACCCATTGAAATGTTATTACTTGTAATACATTAAAATGGACATTGGATGATGGTGGCCTGCCATTCAGGGTCACTCACATGGACAGAACATCCCTCTGGGACTAGTATGCTAAATAACAGGACTCGGCTGGTGAGCAGGGCAGTCAGGGACTACATTTCCCAGGAAGGGTAGCGTGTGGCGGGGCATATAAATATCAAAAGCCCGGGAGATTGGTCAGGAGAGTGCGGGGAGAGATGGAAGGAGAAGGAGGTGTGCTGACGCCTGAGGTGCTGAACTAGGCTGCAGAGCCAGGGTTGGAGAGAGAGGAAGAGCGGAAAGAGTCTACTGACCACCCAATAGGCCAATCTGACAGCAGGAGACCAGACGGGAGAGCCAGAGAGTTTATGGACTGACCCCGTTTGCAGAGAAATGTAGACCGCTACAATCTGCCCGACTACTCTGACCGGGTGAGGGACCCATGCACCCACTAACAGAGTGAATACTAACAGTTTGCCACCTCAGCTATCTACCTGCACATAGTTGTGAACATTACATATATCCCTTCAGGTTGTGGCCTAGTTCTCCCAGCCGCCATTGTTGGGACACATCTGCATTACAGTTTATTCCTACAAGCTGACCGCAGGACATACAGTTGCAGGCCAGGATACAGCAGTTCCAACTGAACATCAAGTTTCCCTTTTTCATCAAAGCAGGATTCCTACTACCATTCCTTTGCCTTTGATATTCAGAGGGGAGTTGTCTTTTGTCCATTGACAGGTATGCCAATTGTTGCTATTCATTACTTCTAGCCTGCTCTGTGTTTAGTGCTTTAAAGTGGGACCCCACCCTAATTTGCTACCATCAAGAGGAAAAGTGTTAAATCTCCTTTGTTCCCTCACTGTCTTTGTGTTGCCATCCTAAGGAACTATATTCCACACCTCAACTCAACTTCATACCAACTGGGCCCCAAGGAGTGCGCAGAAGACACTGTAGTGTTCTTAAAGGGACAGTGCTCAATTTCAAATGAGAATTCTCTTTCCTTCACATCTAATCCTTGTCATCTAGTTCTGAGGACCCTCAGTGAGCTTACCTGTTTCTTATTGGTTGGGCTTTCAACAAGAGGTCCAGATTGACAGGGAACCCAAAAATGACTAAGCAACCCTTGAGGGGGTAGTTCTACATTTGTTACCCCAACCCGCTTCCCACCACCCTGGCCGTATGTGGACAGCTCAGAAATATTGCCCATTTGCTTGAAATTTGCAGATATTGAAGGGCACCTCAATAGTCCTCAATACTTACCTGCCTCCTCCTTGTATTGTATGAGGATCCCCTCCAGTCTTCAGTACTTACCTGCCTCCTCCTTGTATTGTATGAGGATCCCCTCCAATCCTCAGTACTTACCTGCCCCTCCTTGTATTGTATGAGGATCCCCTCCAGTCCTCAGTACTTACCTGCCCCCTCCTTGTATTGTATGAGGATCTCCTCCAGTCCTCAGTACTTACCTGCCTCCTCCTTGTAGTGTATGAGGATCCCCTCCAGTCCTCAGTACTTACCTGCCTCCTCCTTGTAGTGTATGAGGATCCCCTCCAGTCCTCAGTACTTACCTGCCTCCTCCTTGTAGTGTATGAGGATCCCCCTCCAGTCCTCAGTACTTACCTACCCCCCTCCTTGTAGTGTATGAGGATCCCCTCCAGTCCTCAGTACTTACCTACCCCCTCCTTGTAGTGTATGAGGATCCCCTCCAGTCTTCAGTACTTACCTGCCTCCTCTTGTAGTGTATGAGGATCCTCCTCCAGTCCTCAGTACTTACCTACCCCCCCTCCTTGTAGTGTATGAGGATCCCCTCCAGTCCTCAGTACTTACCTGCCTCCTCCTTGTAGTGTATGAGGATCCCCTCCAGTCCTCTGTTCTTACCTGCCTCCTCCTTGTAGTGTATGAGGATCCCCCTCCAGTCCTCAGTACTTACCTGCCTCCTCCTTGTAGTGTATGAGGATCCCCTCCAGTCCTCAGTACTTACCTGCCTCCTCCTTGTAGTGTATGAGGATCCCCCTCCAGTCCTTGGTACCCACCTGTCTCCTCCTTCTAGTAGTATATTATAATGCCCCCACCCCAGTACCTACCTGAGCTAGACAACTTTTCTTTGATGGCTTCCCACACTGGTGGCTTCAGGTCACACTCTGCAGCCTTATACTTAGAAATAATAGGTTCAAACTTTTTGTGGACGTTATCGCTCCATGTTGGAACTATCTTTGCCAAGGTTCGGAGATGACTGGAGAGGTTCCTGGGTAAAGACAGTTTGATGACAGGAGTGGGGTGGTCTACATTTGGCCAAGTGATATCACAGTAAACATCGGACATTTCTTTTTTCAGCATTTAGTTTTATCTGTTCATCCTTCAAAATGAATGCCAGTATATGTGGGCTGATGGGGATTTCTACTGAATCAGGTATTTCCACATGAGGGCCTTCCTTCCCATACAAGCAATGACCAATGGATGGGTAATATGGGTACACGGATATTGTCTTTTTGTTTAGCACATGCTGCTTTGTCATCACCGTCCTCAGAACTGCAATAAAAAGAAATAAAATACTTGTTAGAGGATAAGAGAGGCAGCAATAATCAGGGATACATCAGAAGTAGTGTTAGCCCTCTTGGCAACACATATAATACGATTATTATTTCATATCAGTCATTCTCAACTAGGGCTCCTGGAGAGGCTGCTAGGGGATCCTTGAGAGGCTGCTAGGGGCTCCTGGAGAGGCTGCTAGGGGCTCCTGGAGAGGCTGCTAGGGGTTCCTTGAGAGGCTGCTAGGGGCTCCTGGAGAGGCTGCTAGGGGTTCCTTGAACTTTGGCTGATTAAACTCACATTCCATGATGCCTGCCTAGTTCCGGGTCCAACGCCACCTGACAGAGCCAGCTCCATTACGCCAATGATATTTTTTGCTGTCTGAAAGGGTGTCAACCAAAGTAAGGGGCTTTTTGCCCCCTGGCCATCAATGAATTGGTTTTAGCAGTGGTTCTTCAAGACCTGAAAATTAATTCAAGGGTTTCTCTGGAGCAGAAAGGTTGAGAATGACTGCTCTATAGTAGGGGTCTCCAAACTGCGTCTCTTTGCTTGCTTTTATCCAGTCCTTGGGGCAATATTTCACCCATTGGAACCAATAATGGGGCACTATTCCTCCCACTGACACTAATGATGGGGCACTATTCCTCCCACTGACACCAATGATGGGGCACTATTCCTCCCACTGATACCAATGATGGGGCACTATTCCTCCCACTGACACCAATGATGGGACACTATTCCTCCCACTGATACCAACAATGGGGCACTATTCCTCCCACTGACACCAATGATGGGGCACTATTCCTCCCACTGACACCAATGATGGGCGCAGTGGCACCGATGATGGGGCATTGTTTACTCTCACTGATGCCGGCACATTTACTACTCCTGATGGCCACAGTCTGGCCCTCCTAAAGTCTGAAGGACAGCAAACTGGCCCTTTGCTTAGAAAGCTTGGAGACCCGGCTCTATAGTATCATTTTTGTAGCAAACCAAGCTGAAAATGAAGAAGGTGGAAAATATAGGCTTTTTTGTATTTGTAACGTAACGGGCATGTAAGATTTGAGTGAATAAAGATTTGATCAGTGGAAATATGGAATCAGCCATGACAGGTGAGTAATTAGATGAGGCCACGCCCTTTCATTGCAAAGGTGTGTGCAGGAACAGTCTGGTAATTAAGGATGTACATTGGGCCCCTGGGCAGTAGGGAAATGAATAGATGTACAAATAATGGTCATCCATGGGTCTGGGATACAGATGTGTATGTATACACAATTACTCCATAGGCCTTACAGACAGTAGTCATCAATTAGTGTTAATTAGTCTAAAGCCCCGCCTCCTGGAGGTGACACCTTTGTGTTAATAAGATTACCACCTGCTGGGGAAAACCAGTTTGGAGCTAATGAGAGGAGACCGGACGGCTAGCTACTGTATGTGCATTCATCAACGGAGTATGTTTAATCTCTTATAAAAGCTGAAATATTAGTTGGAGAGATGAACATACTTCCTGTGCGCAGGGCCTGCTGTGCGCTACATTTGCATATAAGAATCATATTTGTGGCTTGGGGAGGAAGCCAGGAAAATGCAGGAAATGGTTATGTGGTGCTGGATCGCTACAGTCGAACAGTGTTTGGTACTGTTGCGATCGGGCTGACGCGCTGGTGTCGGAAATCCAATCCCCAACTTGTTGTTCAGGCCAGTCTTGGCGCAATTGAACTTGGGCAGGTCCATACACCGTACCTCTTGTGGGCAGGTCAGGACCAGCCCCCCCCCCCCCCCCCCCCCCCCCTCCCCCCCCCCCCCCCCCCCCCCCCCCCCCCCCCCCCCCCCCCCCCCCCCCCGGGTCAATTGGCCAAAGACTAATGTCCAGATCATCTCCTAATCCCAATAAATTGAGTACACGGACATCTGGACATCTGTGATCCGTACAGAGCTGGTTCAATTGACCAATGGATTGCTGATTTTCTGGCTTGCTCCAGCCGCAGGGTAAAGTGTTATTCTGTCTTTTTATTCCCTTTTATTTTATAGTAATTATTCATTTGTGTGTCTTCTTATATCTTTTGTATTTCTGTAACTTTTTATATTTTGTACATATTTTATGCTCCGCCCACTTTGGGAAATTAAATCTTAAAATTAATTAGTGAACTTCTGTGTATGTAAGCTCGGGCTCATATCTTCAGAGAGACTAGATCGGGGAGATTAGATTGGAG